TAATTTAGATTAGTGAGTTAAGTTCTTATAGGTCTTATTGAATTAAAGCGACACTGTTTAATATAGAAGCTTTTAGTTTAATCTTGTGATTGATAGGTTCCAGTGGTTGAGTTAGTTCTGCGCTTACAACTGTAAAAGTCGTCTTATAGTTAGGTATTATTAAATTTAGTTTCCATCAAAATTGAGGGTGACGCAAATTATTGGAATATTCTCTGGTTTATGCTTTGAACTAGTTATATATTACTGCTTTTAATATCCCGCTATCTATTACCAGATTTTAATACTAATTATGAACTTAAATGTATTGTGAATTCTAAAAACCTGTTATTGGAAATACTTTCATTTCTTTTTCCATACTTCTATAAAATAATAAAATATGATTGTCTCTTTATTGCTGTCCGACGGACTTTGATGGAAGACCCTAAACTTCTAGTTGTAATTCGTTTCCATTTCTAATTAAATTTCAGTTATAATTTCATTTTCGGTACAAATCTAGTTCAACTCTTCTGGAGTACGTATAGAATATTTTGTAAGTAGAAAAACTAATTATTTACATAAAATTAATCGTAATATATTATTTACGTTTATTAATGAAGACTGATCTGGTTTATAACCAAAGTATTATTTATGAATTTTGTTAACTTCAAGTGAAATATTCCACAGGAATTATTGTGTAAAAGCTTACTTTGTGATACAGGCTGTTTTTGCATTTATTTTTAAGTGAATTTAATATGTAAACGTTTGATATTTGTCATGAAATAATCCTCTCTCTCTCTCTCTCTCTTTGCATGACCTGCATAATTGAACAAAACCGGCAAGTGGAAATTATTTATTGGACACATACTTGTTTTGAGACTACAATTAGAATTAAGACTATGGAATTTATTTGAGAATTTCGGTTTCAGTTTAGTTTGGTTATAAAAATAACTTTGGTATAAAATTGCCTGGCCTCCTAGTACGGATAATCATTTAGATAACCAATTTAAATATCACAAAAGTATAATGTATCGTAAAAGTTTTTGTTTTGTCAGTTACAGTTCATTTATAGATTAATTTTCAAGATATACATTTATATTTTACACAGTTAGTATTAAATTTAGTAACTTTAATTTCATTTACTTATTTTAGATTTCAATTAATCGTTTTTTTTTTTTTTTGTTTTTTTGAATTCGAGTGAAAAGTATAGAAAATTAAAATGTGAATTCATTTAAACGTCGGTTACTCTATTGATTTTAAGCTCTTATAATTCGGTCAGTCGTTTTATCCTAAATATTATTTGTATGAATAATATATTTGATTGAAAAACAGATTCTATTTTCATTAAAAAAAAATATTTTAAAACTTTAATCTAAATTTAAAATATAAAATGTTTGTTTTTAAATTATAAGTAATATATAGGTATAATTTAATAATAAAGAACTACAATCAGATTGCAAAAAATGGTAGGTTAATTAAATGATAATTAGATAATTAAAGAAGATATTTGATATTATTTAATAATTTTTTATTTGTTTTCATTACTTAGTTCGTCACTAACTAATGATTCACTAACTCAGAGTCCTCCTACTGATTAAAAAATTTTTTATTCTCGGTGCGTGTGTTAATTTTATTGTAAAGTAGATTTTCATTTGTTAAAATTCATTTTTAAATCTCTTTCTCCGTTCTAATGTATGTGTCCTACAATTTTAAGCGGAAGTTTTATATATAGGTATACATATTTGACAAGAAAAGTAGAAAGAGTCCTTTAGAACAAAGCATGTTTTGTAGGATAAATCGACAAGTAAAAAGCCTTTAGAAGCTAAAACTTTTTTCCCCAGTTTTATTTCACTTGGAAAGAATATTTTTCAAGATCCTTTTTGTTTCACGGAGAAAAAAATTTGTTAGAGTTACTAAAGGTATTCGCTACAATAGTGACATTATAACTTTACAGATTCATTCCAAAGTATCTTCTCCTCGTTTTACTTAATTTTATTGTAATTTAAGATATCTTTATAATATATATGCATTGCTATGTATTCGCAGGATTTTTAAATGCATTTTTTAAAAAAAAGAATTTTAAAAAATTTAACTTTTCTTAAATATTACTAACTTAAAATATGTTAAAATTTTTAATTAAATTTCGAAGTTAAATAAAGTATTTTTCAGAATTACTTAACAATTCTTTTTAAATATCGAATATTTGTCACTGTAATATATAATATTATAAAAATTACTATATGGACAAATGGAAAATGTTTAAAAATAGAACACACCTTTGCGTGAACAATTATAAGATTAGTTTAGATAATGGAACTTTTTTATGCTTTTATTAGAATTTCAGCAATTAGAGATTAATTATATTTAATAAATTGTCGCATGAGTAAACATATATACGTATTAATAAATATAATATAAAGTAATTTAAAATATTTCATACAATTACAAATAAATTACTTTTAACAGTTTCCAACATGAAATGTTCGCATTAAATGTATTTTTTATGTTTGTTAAGCTATTTTTATATTTTACTTTCCTATTACGAAAAATTAGTATTTAAAAGTTTCATATTTCCTATACATGAGTAACAATTTTCTTTTCAGTTTATGAAAAATAATTCCATATTATTGTCGTATATTGGAAATTTACTTAAATACAATGTATTGAAGCGCGATGCATTCAAAATGAAAAATTGTTAGTTACGAAAACAAATAGAAAACACGTTACTCGCACGAAAGCAAATAGAAAAAAAATGCTATTCACGTGAAACATTTTTTAACCTAATTTTCAACATATTTGTTATTTACTTTAATCCACTATATCTAAAAATATTAAAATGAAATATTTTAATAATAGAGAATTAATTTAGCATTAGGTATTTGAATCTTTAAATAAATTGTTTTTCTTTCTAATTTCATTTTTTTATTTTCTTTTATTCAATTTATTTACTCTCTCTGACAGAAGCAAGAGATAATAACAAATCGGTACCGGAAACCTTATTTACTTGTAAACTATAAATTTCTCTTGAATTGAAGAATATATTAATTAATATTCTAATTAATAATAAATTGTCAAGTCATTTAATTAATTTAAATTATTGTTAATTGTTATTAAAGGTAATAATATATAATTTGTACCTTAATTATAATTAAATTATTTGTTGCAGGTGAGTTTCAAACAGCTATGGAATAATTCGTCAATTTTCTGAAATATTAATCAAAGATAAAAGATGCTGGTGAGTTGCACGTTACGTGATTTGACACATTTATATTAAATAGAATTAATTTTGTTAAGTATTTCAATATTATTTATATTAATATTGAAAAACTTTTTTTATATTTTGTCACAAAAGTATATGAAAGATTGATATGTATCGACATTTTTCATTTTCGAATTATAAATATATATGAAGTCGATAGTGTAATTTGTCTTTCGTTGATTAAATGTGCGCTTATGACATTGCAGTAATGAATTTGAATGAATTCTTCGTTTGTGAAAGGCGCACGATGCCGAAACCTACATCAATCGGATGTCCGGTTTCCGTAGGCATCACATAAATAAAAAAAAAAACATATACGTCATGTGATCGTCGGAAATCCATTAAAATGAATTCACATCGACGACGAACAATCAGAGAACTATCTGAAAATCATAGAATTGAAAAATCGTGTGACAGCTCAAATTTTTCATTCGTGACCAATATTATATTACGTATACCTATAGAATTTCAAACTCAACGAATCAGTCAATTTTTCAAGAAATCTCTTATAACATCAATTACATTTTTTAAAATTTCTTGATATAATTTAATAATAACATAATTATTATTTATTTTTCTTTATTTTATTTAGAGTTTGTTTCATATTTATTTTTTTTTATTATTTTATTTATTTTAATCGCATTTATTTGGAATCCACATTAAAATTCTTTCTACTTCACAAAATCGATTTATTTTTCAATTAGTTTTAATTTATTTAAAACTGCAATAACAGACAAAGAGATAAAAAAAATAACTGGAGAAATATAATTAAAACTATTTTTGTTTTGTTAAATAATGTAAAAAAATTGAATGTCATTTATAGAAGGTATTTGTGTAAAAAAAAGTTTTCTTAATCGGAAAATTGAATTTGTTAATTACTTTCACGAGTTGAATTTACATAATACATAAAATTTGATTAAAGGATGCTAAACTGGTAAAATATATACTGCTTCTGGTGTGACAGTAAAAAGCAAGAATAAAAAATGAATTTTAATTTGATGAAGAGCTGAAAAGTCGGGAATTAATGACTGGAAAATTAAATAGGCCAAAAGAATAGCTCGTTAGTCGTCCGAGTGTTAAACCGTATGCAAGTTGGCTGGCTAATTGAAAGAAATAGGAATTCATTTGTGAAAACGATCCTTGAAGTGGGAGCAATTCATTATAATATTGCGAAACCCTTCGAAAGGAAATTCAAAGTGTATGTACATTGTATATGATAGGTAAGTATATAAAATCATAAAAAGAAAATGGAAAATAATAGCTTTACCTTAAAAAGAAATAAATATGAATTTTTTTTGTACTTTACAAATGAAGATTTAATTCAACGTATCCGGTCAATTCAGACTACTATTTGTTTAGTAAACCTCAGCCAATTAAGTAAACAAACAAACAAACAGAAATAAAACAGTATCTGAATAACAATCGTTTCACACGTTTCCAATAACATGGAATAACATGAATAAAGTGCACAGAATAATTTAATTTCGTTAGGAAAATTTCATTATTATAACACTCGTGTAAAGTGCTTTGTTGATTAAATGAGATTTCGAAACAATTACTTGACTGTCAATTAGAAACAGCTACGTCGAATTCAATAATCTAAATTTAATATAATAGTAGGTACTGTTACGTCCCAAATAGAGAAATAACTAACGAAATAATATTTTATTTTATTTATGGCCGCTCGGTGATTCAGTGAATTTCTGTTTCATTTACAGAGCAGAAGGCTCTGAACTAAGGGTACAGGAAAGAAAGAGAATAGTAATTAATTTTATAATTAGGTTACAATTTATTTAGACAAGTATTTTTAGTTACAATAATTCGTTCTTATGAGAGAAAGGGAATCTCGAACCAACCAATCCAGGAAAATGGAGAGTTCAGCATTCAACTGAAATAAGGAATGCAGTGGTTACTACGAATATACGACAAGTTTAGAAAAGTTAGGAGTGAGAATATAAAACACTTACCTTAAAATTCAGTAGTAGGTGTGTTGAAAGAAAAAGGACCACTGCTGTGTCCTTGTTGTCACTGTAAAAGAGCTGGTACCAGCGTGAGTTTATGACGTCAGGTAGGTTGACGGGCCCAGGTATAACCACAGGTCCGGAGTTCTATTAGGCGTGATGAAACTCCCAATAATGAGTCTCTTACAAATAAAGGAAGAATAGATAATTGCCTAATGTAATAAGAAGTAATGATCCTCGTTTAATGTAGAGGGTTTTGACACTTGATTTTCACTTTCGTATAAGAAAATTATGCACTTGAACTAGAACACGTCGACTGGTACCAAGAATGAGGTTGATGTTATACGTATGAAGATGATTTGAGAACTGATCTCTCCATGAAGAAAGATGTTTAGTTGCGCGACAAAAGGGCGGAAATTGAACATTTAAGAGAAAAGTATTCAGATGCGTAACAAAAACACGGGTGTTTGTTGCAAGATAAACGCAACTCGATATAGATTTAAGAATTCTTATAATATGAATATTAAAGTTACGGTGACGTGACAGTACATATTCAAAATAACTACATATATACACGGAAAAAATTATTTCAGTATATATTTTACATAACTAGTTCTACAATAGCGGATATTGAGAAGACTTTAGTAGAAATTAAAGAAGTATTGTTTTTAATAAAAGCAGAATGTTTTCACAAAAATGTAAAGAAAACTTCTGTAAAATTCAAAAATAGTGTCAATCTTAATTCTGCTATTAACTTTCGTACGTTTTCTAACAGGAGTGTTAAAGACTGAAGTTAATTTAACAAAAGAAAATTTAAAGAGTATATTTAAATATTACTATTAACAATTCCGCTCATTGGTAAGCGTAAATTACTCTTGGCTAAACAAAGTTGAAAATAAGGTAGTGGACTACCTCTCAGTAAATTATTAATTCAATAAACCCGGATAGACGGTATTTATGAGAAAATGTTGAAAAGAAATGTGAAAGATTATTAAAGAAGGGGTTTTAAACTATTAAAAAAAAGTTTTATTTCTTATTTATAATCGATTATCTTGCTGTCATGGCAACTGTATTAAACAATAATTACAGAAAAAATATATTTTACTTTTTTAATACAAGTTTAAATTTCACGTCTGTATTCTTTGGTTGTTGTCTAATATATATTAGACCAGATATCTAACCAGATATCTGGTTTTCGAGTGCGTGCGCTTTTCTTCTTGATCCCCAGTATCAATATAATAGTATCAATATATTTAAATTGAAATTATATGTATGATTGCACAAGATTCAACAATTATAACGCGTCATTTTGTCGCGTATAAATGACCTCAATTAATAAATTATTAGAAATTTTGTAAATAAACGACACAAGGGGGGGAATCCAGTTATATTGGCAGTAAAATGTTATAAATTATAAAAATTGTTTTCTTATGATACTCACTTCATTATTCACGTATTAATAAACCAACTTGCCAAAGTCGTCAGATTAATAGTCAACATGTAATAAATAAATTCTGTTCTGATTTGTCTTTTCGTTCTGATATGAAAACTCTCGCAAGGCATTGAGGATTCTCAACAAATTACAAAGACGTTAAGGGCATCACTATCTATCATTGAAATTAGAAGTTATCAAGGGAAGAGCTTCCTGGTGTATATATTTGTATGATAGTATCGAATATTTAAAACCACCAGGAAAACGAAAGTGCTGTTTTGTTGACGATTTGTCAAATTATTTCTTATGGACTTTTCGCATCAATCAATTTAACATCGGATAGTGCAGGGATCTGCGTTATCGACGACCGCGTATCGATTATCAGTCGCGGATATTATATTATTGAATATTAATTGATCTAATTGATACCTAAAAGAGAGGCCGCTGCATGGCAACGCTATCGAGCTTGTCTCGTTAACCATTTTCTCTCGTTCTCATTCTTATGTCCGCAAAGAGTAGTTGGAGTATTAATTATGTTGTGTTGTGAAATTAAAATAAAAATGTAATAAATTTATAATTTTGAGACGAGGCGGCTTCGTCGTCGTTAAATGGGTGGTGAGTCCTCAGTTATATATTATGAGTCGTTTTCCTTCTGAATCGATCTCATTATTATTTAAAAATAATAATAAATAAATTTGAATTTTGTTATTTGGCCTACTGACATTTTTGTAACTTTTAAAAAATTGAAGTGATTATTAATAAATAGTGTAATTGTTATAAATTTTGTTTAATTAATGGTGTTTCTCCTTATTCCCCCTCTCCGCGGTCTATTGTTGCTTTTAAAGTAACAATGGAATTCCTGAGCTGGTTTTAGTTTTTCCTAAGTAGAATTATAAAATTTACTTGTCGGGTTATTTAACTATTTTTCTTAGTTTATTTATTTTTCATAAAATAACTTGGTGTCTTGGCAAATTAATAATTAAACAGTGAAGATAACGTAGATTAAATTGAAAATATAATAATAAATTAATTAAAATTAAATTCATTAATCTCACCCTAAAAAAACAACGTTATAAATAAAAATAATTAAAAGTAAAACTAAAATCAATAATAAACCAAAATTCTAAATTCTTCTACTAGAATTAGTTCTAATTCTACAAAATTCTACAAAATATATATATATATATATATATATATTATATTACATGATCGCGCATGTGCAGCGTGTTTATTCAGGAAAAATTTTACCGAACTCTACTGGACCACAATATTAATTTTTCTTTAATGCTTTAAATATTAAAGTCGGTCTTCTGACACCAGATAAATAAATATCAGGTTAAGTTGTCACATTTTTTGATGTTATTTATATGAATATCGAAGTTTAACTGAATATTTAATTGCTTTCTATACTTACTGAATAATTTTAGGAGGAGGTGAATGATATTATTGTCAGTTTCGCAATAAAATGATCATTAATTTTTAATTTTATTTCTTACCAATAATTACTAATTATTTTGAATTACTGTTGTGGAATTATTTTTTTGTCTCGCAGAAATCCTGATAGTTTAATCTTTTTTTTGCTTTAATTTTTTTGTTTACAAAATTATAAATAGAAGACTAGGAATTTTTTTTTTTTATTAACATGAGAAACGAAAATTACACGAAAAGGTACTTTTTTTGTTTTGTAAGGAATAATGCATTCTAATGCTAGAAACTGGGATAAAGAAAATTCAATAAAAAAAGAGGGTGAACGATGGCGAGATATTTTTTCTATGGTGAACTGAAGGTTAAGAGAAAATAAAAAAGAGAATGAAAGTATATAGCGACAAAAGTAAAAAGTGTACGATCTCGTGAAATGTAAAAAGTATATATATATATATATACATATATACTACAATCGAGGTGGGTGAGCTCTAAAAAGAGTAATTCAGTTCAACCTGTAGCAACAGACATTACGGATGGCGTGAACACGTTAATGTCCGGGTCGGAAGATCTTACTTTTTCTTCATCGGGTTTAACGCGATAGAAAAAAAAACTTGAAGGAAATCGGAAAAAGTCTTCCATCTGATCTCGATTATGATAAAAATCTACCAGTCTTTTTGTCAATTCGTGGTGACCCATGATCGTATTCAACCAATGTGCCAGGTGGCACATTCATATTTCTCAGTAAAAAAAAAACTCGGGATTATTCTGATCTCTTGAAAAGCTCTACGTTACCCTGATGGCTTAAATTTTAATTTAAAGCTTAGACTCACATTGAATATCATACAATAAAAAAAACTTTAATTAATTTAATGATAAAATTAATTTGAAAATATCAGAATATAAATTTTATTTTTAAAAAATTATTACTATTTTTATCATACAGACTTAAACAATAGTTTATTAAGTATAAGAAAAATTACCTCCATCATTAATTTGAACTGCTATGCGTCTGATGTAGTCCTGATTAGGAAATCCACATTTTCTCGTCGGCGTTTCCTTCCCTGCTAGGAGAAGGACAACGAATTGATCCCAATATTTGCATCAAAATATTCGGATCAAAATATAATTTTATCCAAATATTGGGATCAATTCGTTGCAATTTGATCCTTTCAAGAAAACAGTGATTAAAGAAAAAGGTTATTTTTAAAGTGTGAGCTTTTTTGGATGGTGAAAAAGCTCATGTTTCGGGTGAAATGTGGAGCTTTTTCTAAGTGTAAATAAATCTTATTATTGGGTTAAAAGTGGAAGCTCTTCTGGATGAGGAAGAACTTCTGGTTGAAGTAGAAGTGAGAACTTTTAAGGATTGAGGATTTAAAATTTTTAAAAATTACATCTCACTACAAACGTCTGTAAGCAAAGTAATACTTTAAAATTCTTTTAGTTCTTGTATTATTAGTAGAATCATAATACAAATAATATTATATTTTATCTTGCAGCGCGATATCGTTATATATATATCTCAAGCAAATAATATTTTTTTCCTGTATATAAAAAGTTCTCGTCAAGTCCAAGAGTCGGCGTGATATAATAAATATTTAACTTCGTGTAATGTCTATAAATATTCAGAGTTTCAAAGCTGACGAACCGTGTAGTAGCTTTATTGACCCTTCCTTACACACCTGTCCTTAAACTTTCTTATGCTGACTCGGGAAATGTACAGGGCAATGACTTTAGAATCTTATATAACAATTATACTTTATATATATTTATATATTGATTGTATATGATGTAGTTTAAAATCACTTCCATATTATTTTCATTGAAATTATTATCCCATTTTTCGTTCATTTCATTTTTGTCTTTCATTGTCAAAGCTATGTTAAGGTAGTGCATAAAACAACAAAAAATAAAGTACACTTTTTATAACAGATATTGAGCAGAATATATTTTCCAAATAGTTCTTACAAAGTTACACGAAATACTCATTAATACATTTTTCTTCAGGGGGAAAATTTTTTCCTTACCCTTCCCAGTTCACTCTTCTTCATTCTTCTCTGTCCTTCTTTGCGTTTGTCTTTACCTGAATTTTTTAATATTATTACCAAACCTTTCCTGTTTATGATCGGTGCGACATCATCTATTTTTTTTCTAACAAACTCAGGTACTTAATACGCTGATGAAAAAACTTCTAATTCAAATTTTTAAATTATTTAAAGAAAATTATTTTCGTTTGCAAACTGAATGTCCATATACTATTCAGATTATTTATACTCTTTAATTATCACAATAAATGATTCTTATGAAGTAAATTAAAAATTTTTTTTTATTATTTATTATAAAATTATAATTGTTATTAAATATTATAAACATTTTATCAATTGTATATAAACATCAAAAAATAACACACATCATTTTCTAATTTTGAATATTTAATCATTAATTAAAATTAATTTAATAATTATTTATAAATTCTTTTT